GTGAAGACAGGACCTCGCACTGAACCACTCGGAAGGGATTAGCTCAGCTCCGTGTCCCCATCACAGCCGCAGGAGCTCGGAGGGGCAAGAGGCAGGGGCGTCTGAGGCTGGGCTTCCAGAGGTGCTGGCACCTCACAAACCAAGTGGTGAGGGGGCAGCGGTGACAGGGGGACTTGAAACTCCGACTTCTGGGCTGCGGGGTGCCGAGGGCAGTGCCCCGTCAGGCCTGGAGGCAGCTCACGTGTAGTTGAACGCACATCCCCATAAGGCTCTAAGGACCCAGCTGGACCCCAGGGCTCAGCGTCCTGGCGGACCTGTCTTCTGAGAGCGGGCCCTGCGGGCTCAGCAGACCACTGGTCCTCACGGGGTGGCAGTGAAGTGTGGGGAGCAGCTGCGAGCTCCAGGACTAGGACGTCTGCAGAGCAGGACATGGTGTAGCAATGAGACCCAGGCCCCGGGTCCACATGGCCTCGGGGGCCACCAGTGAAGTGAAATCCCGAGCGGGGCGAGTGTTCTCAGCGCTCCCCACGCCATGCAGCCAGCGGAGGGCTTCCTGGGCCATCAGTCAGCCTTTGAGGCGGAGCGGTGCTGCGCGGAGCGGAGCCCGGCCGCGTGCAGGCACAGCTCAGGAGCGGGCAGACACTGGCGGGCACTGAATGGAGCGGCTGCCACTCTTCTCTGGGCATCTTCCCAGGACAGATCCCAGGCCTGGAAAGGGAATCTATCCTGCCCACGCCTGTGCTGCGTGGGCTGCAGCGCCCACCCCGAGAGCTCCTGATTCTGCACCTGGGCTCCCACTGGGTGAGGGGCAGGATCCCAGCGGGTCGGAGCCCCACGTGCCGGCTGACCCGGCGCACCCTGCAGGGCCCCTAACCCACCCCGGCACTCCCAGACCGGTCAGGGCCCCTCTAGGTGACCCCACAGAAGCCGGGGTGGTCCAACCATCCGAGTTGTCGTGCCCCAGTCACCTCCCACCCCAGCCTCCGCTCTGTCTTCCCGGGCAGACCCAGAGCTGGCACCAGGGGGCCACACGTATGTGGAATGAGTGACCTTGTGTGACCTTGGGCAAGTGCCTCATCGTCCTCAGATGGGTGGAGAGCATGCCAGCTGGAGTGTGAAGGAGGCAGGCTGGCGTCTGTCCAGTGTCTACCCTGTGCCGGTGCCGCCCACCCTCTGCTTCTCCCACATGACGGGACAGGGACCGTGCTCAGAGCGGCCACTGCTTGTCAGTCATAGACCTGGGGTTCAGGCCCCATCCCAAAGGGCCGGGCTCCTGTGGGTGTGGCTACAATGCACAACCCCACCATGCACCACTGCACGCGGTCCCCACAGGGCACACAGTCCCCACAGGGCACACGGTCCCCACAGGGCACACAGTCCCCACAGGGCACACGGTCCCCACAGGGCACACGGTCCCCACCATGCACACGGTCCCCACAGGGCACACGGTCCCCACCATGCACACGGTCCCCACAGGGCACACGGTCCCCACCATGCACACGGTCCCCACAGGGCACACGGTCCCCACCATGCACACGGTCCCCACAGGGCACACGGTCCCCACCATGCACACGGTCCCCACAGGGCACACGGTCCCCACCATGCACACGGTCCCCACAGGGCACACGATCCCCACAGGGTACACAGTCCACACAGGGCACACGGTCCCCACCATGCACACGGTCCCCACAGGGCACACGGTCCCCACCATGCACACGGTCCCCACAGGGCACACGGTCCCCACCATGCACACGGTCCCCACAGGGCACACGGTCCCCACCATGCACACGGTCCCCACAGGGCACACGGTCCCCACCATGCACACGGTCCCCACAGGGCACACGGTCCCCACCATGCACACGGTCCCCACAGGGCACACGGTCCCCACCATGCACACGGTCCCCACAGGGCACACGATCCCCACAGGGTACACAGTCCACACAGGGCACACGGTCCCCACAGGGTACACAGTCCCCACAGGGCACACGGTCCCCACAGGGCACACTGGCAGGGATGGCACCCTGACATTGACCATCTGTTGGTGTCTGTGGCCCAGGGGACAGTCATATGCTCACCCCACCCCTCCCAGGCCTCCTCTGGAAGCAGCGCTGACTCTTGTGCCAGGGCCCATGCACCCTGCCCTCCTCCCCCAGCACTGGCTGTCCAAGTGCCTGGCCACCACCACGCGGGGGGCAGAGGCAATGGGGGCTGGACTGTGTGTGTTTAAACTTTGGCTTTAACTTCTCTCAGGATATCTTCTCTCTCTTGTCAAGTGTGTTTGACACTAATGGGAGGAATTAGCGCACCGCAGTGAGGCGCACAGCAGTCGGGCTGTTGGGTAGGCGTCAGGGATCCCGAGTGGGGTCCAAGATGGAGGAGGCGCCCCTCCAAGCAGGTCTCCATCAGTGGAGCCCAAAGGGGCTGTGACCTTTGTTGCAACCCCACAGCTGATTTCTCCCCAGGAAACGACGTTCCGCCTCACAGTGCTGGGTCTCTGGCCCCGGAGGGCAGGGTCACAGGCAGCCTCCTCACGTGGGGACCGTGTGGCCATGGAGGCCTGGGAATCGCAGCCTCCGTGAGTGGACAGGAGTCCCCCCGGGTCAGATTTCTCTAGGCAGCGGCAGGAAGTCCCCCAAGAGGACCTGGATGCCACATCGCTAGGCATCCGAGGGTCGCCTTGCCCCTCCCAGAGAACCAGCCTCACATGGCAGGCCAGGGTCCCAGTCCCGCTGCCTCCTCTTGCCGCTGCCAGAAGGTGCGACGTGTCTGTGAGCCTCAGTTTCCTCAGCTGCAAAATGGGACAATGCCACCTGCCGACTGTGCCTCCTGTCAGGCTCGCGCGGGGTGCTGGGCATGGGGAACAAGGCACTTCCCCGAGCAACCTAATGTGAACTAGGATGGATGTGTAATTGAATTTAAATCAGAATACAGTACAAGTTTTTCCGTATTTGACGGTTTTATCTAATACATTGAGGGAAACACTTTCTAGCGATGCCACTGGATTTTAAATTTCTCCTTAAGACAAAGAGAAATTAGATCAAATACAAATACAAATATAAGGTGACGACCCGTCGGACAGAGCAGATCGCCCAAGTCGTAGTCACACTGAAGCCGGACACGGGGGCTTCAGGTTGTCACAGGCCCCCCCCATGCTTGTTCATGACTGAACGGGTTCTAGTTAGACACAGACTGGAAGGGCGCTGGCGTGTAAAACCCACAGACCATGTGAGCACCCACGTGGGGAGCCCTTGACTGAGCCACAGGTGTGGTGTCTCGGAGGTTGGACATGGCAGCCGTTTCTGGTGGCATCATCTCCAACACCCCGAGGGTCCCCGGCCACAGGGGACGCCCATCACCTGAGAAGCCCGCTCCTGCGGCAGCACCCGCCCGGCTGGGGCCGCCAGCTGCGCTGCTCTGAGGGCGCGTTGACACCTGCACGGGCGCCAGCACAGCCGGGGCCTGTTTTTTCAACCGAACGCATGGCCTGGGTCCCGAGGCGCGAACCCCGGGCTGTGCAAGCCCATTGGTGTTAGAAACCTGCTCGTGGAGAACGAAGGTGCTCATCCCTGCATCGAGGGCTAATGTCTCAGCAGTCACGGAACTGTCATGTTTGTGTGTCCGTGTCACAACTGGCGGGCTCAGTGTTTGCTCATTTTAATTTGTTTGCCTTGAGGAGCGGTGCTCTAAAGCAGCCTGGAATTTTCCTGTCACATGAAAACAAGGCCATGGCTCCTCTATCAAAGGGACAATTCCACGGAGCCACGGCCACTCACTACCCCCTCTGTCCGCCCGGGGGCTCCACGTGTGGGCTCCCCTGGGCCAGACGAGGCAGAAACGCCTGGTTTCATCCCATTTAAAAACGTTTTATAATCAACCCGCAAGTGGGAGGTGTGGGTAACTGGGGCGCTGGGGAAGGTGAAGGATTTGATACGAGGGAACGCGTGTTATTTATTATTTCTGAGCAGGCGACGGTAAGCTGGTGAACACGGAGGGAAAACACTGCATCGGTGTAGCCGCGAGGAGCTTTTTTTAGTTTCTAGAATAAATAGCAATTAAATCATGTAAGCAGTGACAGTGAAATTGCTTCAAAAACCGATCCTCCCACCATAATTGCTGAGGGACTCACATTTTTATAAATACGGGGTAACTTTATCCATCGCTCTTATCAGCAGAGTGTGACACGGGCTGCGGGGCCTCGGAGTTTACAGGCACGAGGCGGCCCGGAGGCGCACGTGGAGGGTGCGCGTGCAGGTCCAGCGCCGGCTCGGGGGTGTCCCCGCGCGGAATGGCAAGTGCCTCACTGGGGGCCGGCAGTCCGGTGCCTAACTCATGTTTGGGAAGCAAACACCATGCCTGCCTGGCAGAGGGGCAGCCTAGCTGCCTGCACTCCACCTCCCGGTCACCGACAAAGCACCTGGCTGCCCGAGGTCGCTGCCGGCCCATCGCCGGCCGCCGGCCTGGTGGACAGTTCGCAGGAGCCAGGTTTGTGTGCAGAATAAAACGGACCTGAGGCCACAGCGGATGCAAGCCCTGCCCAGAGCTGCTCTTCTCCGTCCCGCACTTGGCCGTCTTGGGTGGGAAATGGCCACTAGGGCCTTCAAAGCCTGTGGGGCGCAGTTTGCGTGTGGTGGGCGTGGGGGTCGTGCTTCAGGTGGACAACACCCCACGCCCAGACTCCGAGATGCCCGCAGGAGCGCGGCACAGCTGTGCTAGGTCTCGGGAGAGCATGGCACAGCTGGCCTAGGTCTCGGGAGAGCATGGCACAGCTGGCCTAGGTGTCGAAAAGCCGCCACTGGTTTTTAGTTCCTTTTTTTGAGGCCTCTCCGTGTTCCCCAGGGGGAGAGAGAAAGCCCCAGACCTGACAAAATACATCCCTGTCGTGGCTGATTCCTGCTGTCCTTAGAAACCAGACCTGCTGCCTGGAAGGAAGCCATGTGACCACGTCTGCCTTCCCCTCCCCCACACCCCCGGGTCCTGACCCCCTCTCCCTCCTCTTGCAGTCAAGTTCAGCAGCTGTCTGGGGACCGAGGGGACGCAGTATGAGACCAGCAGCATGGACTTCAAAGTCGGGGCAGACGGGACGATCTTCGCCGCCCGGGAACTGTGGCTCCCCTCTGAGGAGGTGGCCTTCACTGTGACCGCGTGGGACCACCAGATGGCGCAGCGATGGGACGCCCTGGTGCGGCTGCTGGTGGCCCAGACCTCGTCCCCCCTCTCTGGACACAAGGTAAGGTGGGCCGCCACGGTGGGCATGGTGCATGCCCTTCCTCCTCAGGCCCTTGTACCCTGCAAAGGCCCCGGAAGACAGGCCACCCCGGTGGCTGGGACAGCAGGAGGGGCCTCAGAAGAAGGGGGAGGGGAGGACAGAAGGAGGGAGAAGACAGGGAGGGAGCAGGGAGGAGACGGAGGAAAAAGATGGAGCGACATTCACCACCCTCCCTCTGACTTCACTTCCCCCAACTTGCCTGCAGGGCCTGTCTCTGTAGGTCGGAGTGGGGTGAATTCACCCTCCCCGGTTCCTAAAAGGCCTCTCTCATTGCTACATTGCCTAGCAACCCATGGCCAGCCCCCCAAATCCTCAATGTTACGGTTCACGTGTCCACGGGGCCAGGTCTTAGTCCTTTTCTGCTGGTCCCATGTTCGGCTGCTGCATCGGCCTTGGGTGTGGGGGCTGCGGGGCCAGCAGGGAAGTCCCAGCCCTGCTGCTCACGGCCACCTGCCCCCAGGGACAACTGGTGGGGGGAGAAAGTACGTGAGGCCCCTGACAGCCCACGAGAGGTCTGTGCGGTCCATGTCATCGGGACTGCATGTGTGGCTCGTTAGCAAAGGAGCACACGGGTGAAGCAGTACAAGGTGACCTTGAGTGGCGTTCACAGCTCCCTCAGAAGAGGGCCCGTGGGCATTAAAGGGTTAAACCAAGCTGACCAGAATCCTTTCTATCGATTTGCCCAAAACCTTATGCAAATCTGTTGTCTGAACCTCACTGGGACAGTCTGCAAGTTTCCCCAAATCTCTTGGCCACGGAACCCTTTTCATGGAATTTTTGGCAAGAGAGGTGTTCCAGGGAACCCACTTTAGGAAAATGGGGTCTGCGTCTTGTTTTTAGAGGTGGTTGCAAAAGAGAATGTGGTGACTCAGGTGGTAGCGTTCTCATTGGTGAGCTGACTCCACGGGGAGGGACACCTCGAGCGCCTTGAACCAGGTGTCCCCAAGGCAAGGGCCTCGTCCTGTGGTGACGAAAACCAGGTCCAATGACTAGTTTTTCCTCTCTCCTGAGTGGTTATCACAAGCCGTGTCCAGAAGAAAAGGCAGTGAGCAAGGCAAGCCCCGGGGCAGCCCTGGGGACACTGTCCCATGTGGGGCCCCTCCCTGCAGGTGGCGGGGACAGGGGCTGAAGGACAGGGAAGCGGTAGTAAGCCGCCATCCCTGACTCTGGTGCAGACCCTGTGTGCCTCCTGAGCAAAGAACAGGCTCCTTTAAGCCTCAGATAAAAGGCACTAATTGAGAACATGCCTGTTGTTAGGCATGTTAATGAGGAGGCTCTGATGCAGGCAGCCCCTGGTCCTCCGTGGAAGGTGGTTGCAATTAGTCCCCGTAGGAGTGCACCGCCAGCCCAGGCTGTTCTGGCAGAACAGGACACGGAATCCGTGGCCCAGGCTCAGAGCATCTGTGGGGCTGCACACCCACATGTGTGAACTGTGACCATAAGAGACAGCGGGCAGTCTGCAGCCCACCGACCAGGCCTGGTTCCAGTCTCGTCACCTGCATGGCTTCCTTTTTCCTTTTACTCCGAACCCAAAGCAGCCTGGCCTGACTTCCAGGATGTCACACAGACCCTGCTCTACATGGCATCATCTCTCCAAACCCTCACGTGTCCACAGTGGGCACTGCAGACGGAGAAACTGAGCCATGTGACTGCAACCCCTTTGCTACATGGGAGAAGCAATGTTCTAGAGAGGAGTGAAAAGTGGCTGTTAGTGCAGCGGAGCCCCACCATGGAGGGGCCTGCCTGCCTGGCTGCGGGTTTGAACCAGGGCTTCTCCAACTTACTGGCTGACAAGGCAGAAAATCATATCTAAACATCGATGTCAAGAAATTATGAAAAGAACAGGAAGTGAAACACAAAGTAGAAAGAAGGAAACAGAAAAACCAAGAGGAGAAAATATATAGACAGAATCAACAGACAGAACCTGGCTCTATAAACTACTAAGCCAAGCCCTGGCCGGGTGACTCGGTTGCTTGGAGCATTGTCCCGTACACCAAAAGGTTACAGGTTCAATCCCCAGTCAGGGCACATATAACTGATCGATGTTTCTCTCTCCCTTCCTCTCTCTCTTGAAAAAAAAACAAAACAATAAAAGCATATCTTCAAGCGAGGATTACAATAAAATAAACTACTAACCCAATTGGGTTGTATAAGAAAAAAGAAATTGCAAATTATCCTAATCAGGAATGAAAAGAGGGCATCGTGATCAATGTCATAAACTATAAAGAGCATTTAAGGATATTATGTATGATCTGTGCCAACCTTTTGAAAACACACGTGAAACGGATAACATTCTAGAAATATACAGCTCACCGAAACTAGCATGAGAAGGAAATCTGCACTGTTTATTATTCCAAACAAAATTTAAATTAAAATCCTTATCTTAAAGAAATGCCCACACCATCATGGCTCCACTGGTAAATCCTACCTAAGCCTTAAAGAGCAATTGAAATTAATCCTGTACACATTGTCCAGAGAGCTGAGCAAGAGGAGTCATTCCCCAAACACGCAAGCGCCATGTCCAAGCCACCACGAGCTCTCCTCAGAGCCAGCAAGAGCTGTGTCCAGAACCAGCCAAAACCTTGAAAGAACAGCAGGGAGGTCACTATAGGCCAGCCTGCTCACAAGTAGATGGGGAAAAAAATACCTAAACAAAATATTAACAAACGAATCCAGCCATGTATACATAAAATAAGCCACGGCCACACCAGTGTGTGCAAGACTGCAAGGTTATTTAACATGTGGAAGTTAGTCCATGTAATTCAACACAGAGTAAAGTGCATAGTGATTGTAAAATTTCACCTTCATTCAGGATGAAAATATTCAGCCAATTAGGGAAAGAAAGGACTGTCCTTAATGCTGTAAAGGGTGTCTACGAAAAGCAGACAGCAAACCTCCAGTCTACTTTTGGAATAGCCAAAGCCTTCCTTGACATTGCAAAGAGGACAAGGTCATTCCTACATCACATGCTGGGGGTTCAAGCCAAGGTTAGGCAAGAAAAGGAGATCAAAATAAATAGAACTGACATTTGTAGCTGATACGATGTGACTGAAGATCTGGAAGAACCTGTAAGTAGCACGCTGCAGTCAATGAGTGAGGGTAGCAAGGATGGAAAAGCCATCCTCCTTCTACAGACCGGAATAAATCATCAGAAAATGAAATTTGAGCTGGATATGAATTACGAAAGCATGGAAATGGTCATGCAACTAGAAGTAAGCCTAACAAAACTGTTCAAGACCCTTCCATATTATTGAGAACAATTAAAGAATCCTTTAAAAGAGAGGGGTGTGCTACTCAGCAGGTTTTGTGTTGTAGGAATGCTGGTTCTACCCAAAGGTTTCTGCAGACTCAGCACATTCCCAGCATGGTTTTTGCCTGTTCGTAGGAGGTTAACAAGCTGACTTTACATTTTTTAAATGGAATGCAAAGGCCAAGAATGGCCTAGAATAACAGGAACACGGGACTTGGGCATCAAGACACACTAGTAGACCCAGCCAAGCTTCTCAGCCTCACGCTGTTGGCATTTGGGGCTGCCCTGCACTGTAGGGTGTTGCCAGCAACCCTGGCCTCCACCCCCGGGAGGCCAGGAGCACCCACACCACCCCATATGCAGCCAATGCAATCTCCAGTCATTGATTGCAGCGTTGCCCCCTGTGGCAGAACCACTGAACTGTTAGAGCTAAAATGGTATGGTTTGGGCGCGAAGAGGGTCAGATGGACAAATGGAACAGAAGAGCAAGCCCAGAAAAAGATGTTTAAACCTTTAAATAAAAGGTCATCTTCATAAAGGCATCCCTTTTGTACAATAAGATTCGCCCACTTCACATAGACAGTTTGGCGAATTCTGTCACACGCACATGCTGAAGACCCTTGGTTTTTGTAGGAGTACCAGAGGTCAGCCAGCCAGCTAAGAATGGTTCCTACAATTTAAATGGTTGTAAAAGTGTTGTATTAATAGCCTTGGTTTCGCTCCTTGGCCCCCAATGCCTAAAACAGCCGTGGGCAAACTACGGCCCGAGGGCCAGATCCGGCCCGTTTGAAATGAATAAAACTAAAAAAAAAAAAACCGTACCCTTTTATGTAATGATGTTTACTTTGAATTTATATTAGTTCACACAAACACTCCATCCATGCTTTTGTTCCGGCCCTCCGGTCCAGTTTAAGAACCCATTGTGGCCCTCGAGTCAAAAAGTTTGCCCCCCCCTGGCCTAAAATCTTTAACTCTGGTCCTTTAACAAAACGTTTGCCAAGCCCTACTTTGAATAGGGTGGGAGGACTGTCTTTCAATACTGACGCTGGGCCCACGGCGCCTCCCACGCACACCCCGCCACCAGCTCCCCGTGGACTGTGAATCTACGTGAGCAAGACAAGGCGAGACGACTGGCAGAGCATGTGAGGAGGGTGTCGTGGGGCCGCCTTCTCACACCTCTGCTCACCAAAGCAGCCACTTCAGAAAGTGAAACGTTGAGCCTGGGGATGGGAGAGGGTATTTCTAACACCTGACAACTAAGGGCGCACATCCGAGTGCACAGAGGATATCAGTCACCGGGTGAAGGAGGAGAGCCAGGCTCGACCAGTGTGGCCGCATCAGCCTCGCAGGGCAAGGCAGACCCGGGCTCCACACCGAGAGTGATAACACCCATATGGGTGAGGACGGGTGCAGTTGGCATTTTCCTGCACTCACGTGGGGGTGTATTTTGGTGCAACTTCTTTAGACCCTGATTTGGCATGCTCACTCAGTTGAACATACGTGTACTCAAGTAAAAGGAAACCACTTCCTCTACTCACAGCTCATCCGACACCGAAGGGAAGGGTTCTCCGCCTGAGCTGCTCTCCAGCTCCACAGACGCGGCTGGGGGTCCTACCACGCAGACCCCAGGCTCGGGGTCCAATCCCAGTCCCAAGCAGCAGCAACATGAGTGAGTGTCCTCGACACACGTGAGGGGAGAAGGCAGACGCCA